CCCCAAAACCCCAAAACCCCAAAACCCCAAAACCCCATCTATTTAATTTTTCAAATCCTTCAAATCAGCCAATCATGGAAGCTCTAGGCTAGTCACCAGCCTGGGAACTCAGCTGCTGGAGTATGTTATCCTGCTCCTGCTTTATTTTATCGTTCTCTTCCAAGGTAGCCAGAATCTTGCTGTTCAGAGACTCAATCTCTCCTTCATAGATCTTTATCTTTGACTCTCCAGATTCAATCTCTTCCAAATATTTATGGAATTTATCCTTCAGAGTTTTGTACTGCTCATTCAGATTTTCTCTTTCTTGTGTAAGTTTATCATACTTGCCTTTTTCTTTGTTGAAATCATCCATTAATTTCTTCAGTTCGTTCTCGATCTGGTCATTGATGTCAGTCTGGAGGTTATTAATCTCTTTCTCCTTCTTCTCGATGACCATTCTTACTTCAGCAAGTTGTTCGAGCTCCTTCTTCTTAATCTCGTATTTTTCTTTCAGTGAGATTTGTTCCTGGTAGCTGTTAGTGACCTTATCGATATCCGCTTCGAACATCTTTGTCATATCTTTCTTTGCCTGCTGTTGAGCCTTGATAGCATCATCTTTGCGCCTGTAAGCTTCGATATTCTTCTCCTTCAACCCTTGGAATACATTATTTAATGTGTGTTTTAGCTGGATTACTTTGTCAATACCTCTGTTCTTTGCATCGATCTCATCTTGGATTTTCTCTGCTCTCCGAAGTTGATCAAATTTAGATTCCCGGATCATTATCTGCTCTTTCGCGACCTTCATCACAAGGTTATAAAGTGATTCCAGCTTGGACTCATTCGAAGTTCGTTTAGAATGAAAAATAATATCTGCTTCTTTTTGCAATTTCTTATTTTTCTTCTGGATCTTCTTTAGCTCTTCCTTTTCACTTTCATTGATTGTAGATTTGAGGGTTTCTTTCTCTTTTTCCAGATGCTCCTTCCTCATTTCAAAAGTTTTATCTTCGCTATCAATAATGCCAAGCAATTTCTCACATTGCTCCATATCCATTCTAGCCTTTTCTTCTGTGCTTTCATACTCCTCTTCCGGCTCAGGCTGTTTGGAGTCTTGATTTGCTTCATTTTCACGGATTTTTTGCTTTTGTTCATCAGATAGACCCAATGAGTCGAAGAACTGGTCTGAAGCCTCTCCATCTTGGAGAATATCAGTAGCTGTAGAGGCATTTGATGGCTCCTGAGATTCCTTCTGGGCATTAGAGTTCTTATTCTTGTTTTTCTTTTTGTTATTATTCTTGTTCTTCTTGTTTTTCCCCATTTTTAAAAAATTATACACGAAATTACTAAAAAATCGTTCAAAAATAATCCAGATTAGTGGGGTTTTGGGGTTTTGGGGTTTTGGGGTTTTGGGG